ACCAAAGTGTTGAGGAGCTGCATTATTCTCTGTTGACATCCTTACAAATGATTACTTACTGCCTTTGCCTTGGCATGAGCAGTGTTTGTGCCTCCAGTGATGATCTGGCTTCAGGAAACTCAGTGGCTGAATTTGAGGAAGTCTTCCAAATCTAGCATCCTTATTTGAACTCTTTCAACCCACTTTGACCAGAAAAATCAAGCTGGAAATTTTGTGCAAATGTTAGCTTGTTTTTGTAGATTTTCAGCTTTCTGTTGAGTTCCAACCAGAAGCTGCTGGGAAACTGGGAAATAAAGGAAAAAGAGGAAACCTTTTTAAAAAGCAGTTTCCTTTTGGGGTTAGTTTGAAAGTTTCAAATGGGGTTGGCTTGCTCTTCCTTAGTTTTACATATGAACAATGTAACAAAGGCAAATTGGAGAAGAATTACCATGTCCTAATATGGTTTGTATGAATGTCACTGAATTGGCCAACGTGTGGAACTCAAATATTTTGGAGAAGAAAGAGCTGTTCTTGTACTGAAGCAAAGCTTGTGACTGATTCCTGTTCTAGGAGCAAAACATGGCACTCGTAGTTGCTAGCAAATCCTGCCCCTGTGCCAGTGTTATTTGTCTATCCTAACTGCTTAAATAAATGCCTGGGCTCTGAAATTTACAGGGCACAATTACAGCAGTTTTCTGGCTTCTAACAAGAATTGAGCTAAGACCAACTTCTTGCTGGAACTGTAGAGCCCACTGGGTCTGAATTCATTCCAGCATTTGATGGATGACTAAGTTTCTCCATGGGGACAATTAATTTTGCTTCTATAGGGGACCTTCATGCTTATCTTCAGCAAAAATGGCCTCTCAATGACTGAATAAAACAGTTGTTTTCCCTTTGCTTTAGGAGATATCTTGCATTTCTTATTCCCAAAAGGCGATCGCTAGAGCAGAGTGGGCACGCTGGAGGTTTTCTTATTCCTTTCACTGCTTTAGGGGCCATAGGGTTAATTTAGCAGAGCATTCTTATCTCCAAACTGTAGCAATATATGTTCTTGGCATAATGAATCAGTGGAGTGGCATCAACAAAGAGATTTAAGCAGATAGACAGAAAGATAAATCTCTTTGTTCTGCCTGGTAAGCAATGCGTTGCTCATCATGTTGCAGGTTGACTGTAATTCAGTTTTGTGATTAAATATGCTGCATGTTTTCCAGTGGTCCCTGTGCTCCTGGCACATACTTCAAAGGGGACTGGAATGTAAGGAGGGCTTCAGAAATGTCCACAGAAACACTGGCAGTCATGGGACTTTATCTACTAGACTGAAACCCTGGCTTTAGAGTCTGTCCTTGTCCCCTAACACAAAATCAGAGTTCTGTCAAAACTGGATTTCTATCTTGTGTGATCCCCTTGTTAATGCAGATACTAATGTAGAACCACCTGAAGCCCCTGTGCGTTGGCTGTGCATCCATGTCAAATATTTCTGGTTAACTGCATGATTATTCAGGCTGGATATTCTATTCAGTGATTAAACTTTCACTGGTTAGAAGCACTGCCCTGGAAGCCAGAAGTGCAAGGTCAGTTCAAGAAGCATGGGGAAACTGAGTATAGGAATATCCACCTATCCCCCATCCCATCCTCAGCAGGCAAAGTGAAACTCTTGCAAAGGTTTGGGGAAGGCTGTGGAGACAGTGATTGCATCAGAGATGCCAGAATAACATTAGGAAGACAGACTCACAGCAAGAGAGTCAGAGATCACTCAGATCTCATCCAGTACTTTGTTTATTGATTTTTTAATCAGTTTATTGAGATTTCACCACTAAATTCAGGTATGTAAAATGGTAAATACAGATGAATTGATGGTCAATGCTATTTACTATACTTACAGCTAGTGTGGAATACAAAGATTATTGTGTAAGCTTACTATATGTATCTTAAAATATTATATGCATGAAAAAAGTCACTGTTCCATTAGTTCAAACAGGAGATGTGCATCTGTCTCACAGATCAAGCATTGAATCAAAACACAACCATCTCTGAGCACTTCTGAAAGCTGTGTGGAAGGAGAACTTCCATTTTCACTGAACACTGGCCATACCCTGGGAGAAAGAAAGGGACTAATGAAAGAATAACAGCAAAAGGGTCAAATGACATAGGACGTCTTACCACTTACCACTCAGACCGTGCATACTGACCCCAGGAGGGGTGGGTTCTTGCTGCCTACAAATCTGTGCAGTGCTGCTTGTACCTCTATGATTCATTTTCACCATCTGTATTTGTGCCAAAATCTAGATGGATGCTCATGCAGGTGCACCTCTAGATGGAGAAACCAACAGAGACAGGTGGGGAGGCCTCCTTTTTCCGTTCTGCCTTCTGGAGATCTTGGCATACTTCCTCCTTCATTTATTCACTACTTTATTGGTGATACAACTGAAACAAATGGCAAGAAAAACACTGACGACACAGGAGAGCAGAGGAGAATCAATGAAATCAGACAGGAGGAGCAAAACGAATGTGGTTTTTACCCCCTCAGCAAGTAATTCTCATTGCTTCTGATCTCCTCACAGAACAGAGTATCCAGCATCACTTTTCAGAGCAACTATTTTGATCTTAAAGGTGATAAGTACTACAGAAAACACGAGGGGAAGCATAGAGAAGTTATTCTGCTCAGCTTCCTCCCTGCTTTCCATCCAGTGATAAAACTGACGTATGGGACAGTTGTGTATTCTGGTCCCTATGGAGTGGGGATCTTGAAAGGCACGAGGAAAACACCAAAAATGCATCTTATGATAATTTTATTATTATTATTATCTTAATAAATTCCCCAAGGAGCTCTACCCACAGTGCTTTCCAACGTTTCCCTTGTCCTATCGACAGCGACACAGAAAGCTTAGACTTCAGACACTGAATGCTAGGGGCTATAAATCCCTAGATTTAGTCCAATTTCATCTACCTCTGAACAGTTCAGGGCAGCTCTGAGTCTGATCTAAATTGTCCCTACCTTACACTCTCCGACTCTCCTTGTCATGTTTTATATACTTATTGACTTTTACAGAGCTTCCCGAGTAATTCTTCAAGGGAGATTGACTGATTTAAGGGGTTAGTCATCCTGCAGGTTAGTAAACATGACAGTTGGTTGAGGATTAACAGGAAATCATGAATAAAATCATTGGGATTGATAAGGGATTCTCAAGCAATTAAAGTTTTCTTGCAGAAAGTAAACCAGAAAAAAACAAACAGTGAAGGTCAAAGGAGAAGGATGACCTACCTGCTGACAATCACTGAGTCCTGAAATACAAGATGTACTGGCAGTTAGTGTGAGATGGTTAACAACAAGGAGATAAATGCTAGAGAGAACTTCAGGCCAAGGTGTAAGAGACTTGGCAGAGCTGTGTAGGATTGGAATAGCTGTGGGACCAGCAGGTCAGTGCAGGGGCATGTCAACAGGGTGGTGTGAAGGTGCAGAGCAAGATTAAATGAGTTGGCAAACTGGTCTGGGGATGCTGTTCATTGCCTGCCCTGTGGTGCCAATGGTAGAGAAAACTGCGGGACAAGAACAGGTAGCAGAACTGCTCTCCAATCACTTTTCCAAGTCAGAGTTTGCTAATGTAATGCAGACAGCAGACAGATGACTTCAGGTGACTTCCTTCCCCTTCCCAATACCTCTATCTACTTCATCGCTAGGATTGAGATTTGCTGCCTACTAGCTGCTTGCTGCTTACTCTCTGGCTGGCTTCCCTTGTTACTAATCTCCTGCATGCAGCATATTTCTGTTCTCTCTCTTAACCTCCAACTCCTTCTCCTGTCTGTAAATCCCCTCTGATGATTTTAACGTTCCAGGTGTGAGGGGCTCTGGCACTTTGTTTAATGAACTGGAAATGAATTGGAACCTACTAGCTCTGGAGAACGCGTACCAAGAGCCATCTGTTGTGAGCTGCAAACACTGATTGATATTCAGGATGCTGAGCTCCAGTCTTATATTTGCTACCTGGCCCCTTACTTGATTACTGAGCTCCTGACAGCTTCTAATATGTGTCACAGCAAGGAATGTCAGGACCAGTCAGGAAAATATGTTTGGTTTGAAGGGAGGAAGCCTTGAGTCTCATATGGCTTCATGTTTGTCCTGTGGGGCAAGAAATGCAGTGGGTGAAGAATATAGAATACTCAGCAGAATTTGTATTTTATTGTAAGTTTTATAATGTCTTAATTTCAGTCTGATGTCCTAGAGCTACATGATTAAGGGAACATTGCAGCTTCTCTTTCATATTTTTATAAAGCCCATATTCTTTTATTTTTATTTTTTTGCCCATGCAATAAAGCCTTTTAAAGGTCGCATCCAGACAATGTTTAAATCTTAGAGCTAGGAAGCAACAGAAAAGAAGCCCAAACTGATGCTGCTCATGTTTGTGTTTTGTTAATTTTGAAGTAGTGTGGGTTTGCAGAATAGTTTGATTTATGGCTTTTGTTATACAGGAATGTGTGGGAACACATTTAGAAGTCAAACATAATCTTGCTGGCTGTGACAGGGTTGTACAGTTACAAGGTTTCTGGATTTCTTGATCTCAATAAGGTGCTACCTCAGGACTGAAGTACAGCACTATGTGAAGTTTATGACTTGCTATTGACTAATCTTAGTGTTCAGCTTTTCTCACTCCTCAGGAGCTTCCTTAGTACCAGGAGTTCTTATGGTGTGTAATTGGGATTAAGTTTATTAGCACTTTGCAGGAGATTTGAGCTCTGCACTTTTCCCGCCTGTGGTTTGGTTCATCTGGAGGGTTCTGGAGCAGCCGTTTCCACCTAGACAAAAGAGAGACTGCTTCATGTGTTTGCATGTACTATTCCAAGAGTCTGGCTCATGCTTAGTAAGTAAAAACTTCCTGAATTGTAAAAAAACCAAAAAGTTTCATTTTTCTGAGACCATTAAGGAAGAATGAGCAGGTGATAAAGTCTGAGTTTGAACAGTAAGTAGCCATGGAGTTGTCAAACACCATGAGTAGTTTAATTCAACCTTTTCTCTTCCTTTTCAGAGTCTAACAGCCGACGAGCAGTGAGCAGAGGCTACCTGGATGGGTTGCTGAGACTCTATCATGACTGGCATCGCAATGATGTCTCCAACAACTACATCTGTATTCGAAGGGGTCTCCTGCTCTGCCTAAAGCACATCACCAACATCCAACTGGGCAGGGAGACTTTCCTTTGTTCCAAGGGTATGGAGATTCTCTTTACAAGTGTACAGGTAAATCATGCTTTAGTAGCTGGGTGAGATGGATTGGTTAGTGCTGGGTTCTACCTCACAGTGCAGGGAATTCCATAGTTTTATCTTGAATTTATGTAACGTATCAATGAAAAAGATGAGAATGTTAAAACATATTTAGTTTTTCACAGTTAGTACTTCAGAAAAGGTAAAAAATCTCAGTTTAAAACTAATTCCAAAAAAAAATCCTGCTGAGCCTCATGGGGGTTGTAGTTCAGGCTTTTTAATGCCCTTTATTTCCTCCTCCTCCCCTGTGCATCCTGCTGTCTGCTGGACTTCCTCTCCCAAAGAACAGTGCAGTGTCTCCATATGTCGTGGTTCAAGCCCAGCCGGCAACTTGGAACCACGCAGCCGCTCGCTCACTCCCCCCCTTTTCCTTCCTCCCCCCGCTCCCGGAGGGATGGGGAGGAGAATTGGAGGAATGTAACTCCCACGCGTTGAGATAACAGCTCTCCAGTAACTAAGGTATAATACAAACCACTACTGCTACCAGTAATAATGATAAGAGGAATAACAAGGGAAAAGGACACAACCGCTCCCCCCCCGCCGACCGATACCCAGCCCGACCCGAGCAGCGATCTGGGCCTTCCGGGTAACTCCCCCCAGTTTCTATACTGGGCATGACGTGCTGTGGTATGGAATACCCCTTTGGCCAGTTTGGGTCAGGTGTCCTGTCTCTGCTTCCTCCTGGCTTCCCCTCCTCCCTGGCAGAGCATGAGACTGAGAAAGTCCTTGGTCAGAGTAAACATTACTTAGCAACAACTAAAAACATCGGTGTTATCAGCATTGTTCCCAGACTGAAAGTCAAAAACACAGCACTGCACCAGCTACTAAGAAGGAGAAAAAATGACTGCTGTAGCTGAACCCAGGACACCATAGAAGAGCCTCTTAGGTGTTTCATGAGATGTTTTCTTTCAGGTATCCAGATGGATAATTCCACGCAATCAGTTTTTTACACACACACACACATACACACAAAATGTTGATTTAGCCAGGCATTTGCTAATGAGAAATTTCCGTCAACTGTTATTCAGGAGTACCCAATTCTAATCTTGTGAAACATCAATGTGGGTTCATCAAGAAAATTGGCATGGTCGTCCTGAGGGTGGGATCTCTCTAAGGTATAGAAAGAGCAGGTACAGAACAGTAACGGTTTTCTTCAACATGCTGCTTTAGTCTTCTTTGGAAAAGCTGCTTATGGAGAAACCTTTTTGGTACTACATCCATGTGGTTCCATAAGGAGTGTTTCCATTGTCATTCTTACTGGCCAGTGCATTATCTCATTCTAGCACCATCACAGACAGGATGAAAAACCTGTCCCCTTCTTCTCCAGAAAACCCATTGTCTTACTATCCAGTGTATTTGCTTCTTCGTCTTTCCCATTGCTGTCATAAAAAATTCTCCTGTGACTGAAAGATATTTCTCACTAGCAGTAGATGGTACACTGGTAGAGTTGTGTCACTTCATTGTCCTATTGAGGATTTGACCAGATTTTCAGGTGGGATGAGGTGGCCGGAGACAACAGATATTTAAAGGGAGTATGGCCTCTGTTAATGAGAAGTCCTTGATCTGCAGAAACTTGAATAGGGTGGATGGCAATAGCTGCTTGAGGGTAAATGTCAGCTCGTTCCCTCTCAAGAGCCTTCTACAGCCCATGTAGGTTTCTGAGCTAACATCTCCTGATAGCTCAGCCTGGGAGCAGCCCCATGGGAAGGGCAAACATGGGGTCACCTTGGTGAACAAACAGGAAATGACACACTAAGACTTCAGTGAGCACTGATAATACTAATCCTTCCAAAGGTTAGAAGTGGAGCAGAAAGGACAGCTTCAGGGGCCTCCAGTTTGCTGTCTCCTACTATGCACTACTACGTACTACTACTACAGGGACATCATGGAAGGAGATTAACAAGGTTAATAAATTCAAAGCTCAATGTTCCCTCACTACTTCTTTGGGATACCATGAGTTTTGGTGTCTCTCCAAGACATGAAGTGTCAGTAGGACCCTGGCAGCCCTCAGAGATCTCACTCATGCTCTTCCCTGCTCTGTCCTGAGGTAGAGACTGATGCTGCTACTACCTTTAATTTTCATGGTAGACAGAAAATGGGAAATGTATCCTCCTGAGAGGAATTTTATGCTGTAGGAAGAATAAAAGAGATGGAGACAGGGCAAGACAAATAACTTCTTCTTGGGAAAGCAATGACTCTTTTTGTCTGTAGACAGTATTTTAGTGCCTATAGGAATTTGCTGGCTGTGGTGATTAACCTTGACCAACCTCTGAGCAGCTTATGAGATTTTAAAGGTGTTAAAAGCTGCCTAGAAAAGTTATGCTGAAACTATTTTTTCATTTTCTTTGCTTGTTTTAACAGCCTGCAGTGGAATTCCTATTTCCAAGGCTGGCTTTAAACTGAAACCTGTCCAGCTGCTTATTGTATGGACTGATGGATAGTTGAAATACCTGAGTTTTTAATAGCCCATAAAGCTGTGTCTTTACAGGAAGAGCCAGTAGTTCGTAGACTGTCTCCTTACATAGATTACATGTGACTGCTACTTTATTTGAGGAGAACTTAGAGTTATTTCAAGTTTCGCTCCTACCTGGAATGAAAAATAATTTTACATAATGAAGTCATTTGTGGAAAGGAAGCACTTTGTGCTCCCAGTTCTTCTTCCAAACTTGGCTTAGACTTTCATAGCAGTTAAATGGTATATTCACATTAGCAACTGGTTGGCTTTGCGTGTAGTGACAGGGATTTGCCTACCCCGAGACAACAGGTTTACATCGTCTTTCAGAGACTGGTGCATAGAACATCAATTTGCTATTTTATTCTTTATTTGTCTGATTTCTTAAGCTTGCTTGGTTTCTCTTCAGCCTTCCTGTACTAGGGTCTACTCTAAGATAGTAGTATTCACTCTATATTTCCCGGTAGTAACATCCATGTGCTTGCTGTCATGTCTTCACTGTTCTAGTAAATACAGAACAGTTTAGTAAACCAGAGTAAGATTATTCAAGGATGTCTACATGCACCAACAGAATAACAATCTTCTCCTATCTTTCCTTTAACAAGCAAACAAAAGCAACCAAACACCATGTGAACAAGTGAATAAATTGAAACACTAGAAACAGCAACAAATTCTCCTTAGTGTTTGCTCTAAACGTAATAGAACTTTCCTTGGAGATGCTTTCAAAATTGTCTTTTTTTTCTCCCCCTTGTTCCTAACAGGCAGAGATCTAGAAATACGTACTTAGATTCTTGTAGTGACTGTTGTAAGCATGTCAGCTTTAGATGATTTTTCTAGCCTCCCTGCAGGAATCCTGGTTAATCCCATTGAATCTTCTAATGCTGTTCAATCATACATGAGAAAACAGAATAAAATCCTGTACAACTAAAAAGAAAATAAATTTCAATGCAGACATACTCCTATAATAAAGTACTTCAGAATCATGGAAATAGTTAGGTTGGGAAAAAGACCTTTTAACATCATCAAGTCCAACTGTTAACCCAGCACTGCCCAGTCCACCAATAAAACCATGACTGTGACTGGCTGCCAACTGGGTTTAACTCCCTTCGCCACCTCTCTTGGGCCTGGTCATCCAGACAGTTCTTTACCCAGTGAGCAGTACATCCATCCAAACCATGAGCAGCCAGTTTCTGTAAGAGAATGCTGCGGGAAATGGTGACAAAGGCTTTACTAAACTCGAGTTAGGCACTATCCACCACCTTTCCCTCATCCACTAAGTGGGTCACCTTGTCATAGAAGGAGATCAGGTCAGTCACGCAAGACCTGCCTTTCAATAAACTGACTGGGCTTGATCACCTTGTTGTCCTGTACATGCCATGTGATGGCACTCAAGGTGATCTGCTCTATAACCTTCCCTGGTTCTGAGGAAGTTACTGACAGACCTGTAGTTTCCTGGATCCTCCTTCCAGCCCATCTTGTAGATAGGGGTCCCAGTTGCTCACTTCCAGTCAACTGTGACCTCTCTTGTTAGCCAGGACTGATGATGCTGAGGTTAGTCAGGAAAGTGGCTTGGTGAGCACTTGTACTGGCTCCCTCAGTACCCTTGAGTGGATTTCACCCAGCCCTGCGGACTTGAGGTATTGCTCTTCCAGGTATAGCTCTTTAATGGCAAAAAGGAAGGTGGAAAAAAATGTGAGAGGGGAACAGAAAACAAAAAGCCGTAAGTATAAAGATTTTATATTCCAGTCTGAGTGTCTCTCCTCTGGGGGACTGTGTGTAATAGTCAGGACAATTGTAAGGGACAATTCTTAACGTTGCTCTCCTCTGGTTCCTAGGATTGTTTATCTTGCAAAAATCTGGATCCTATCGTCAACACCGTGACTCAGATTCTGAGGAAGTGCTACCCCAAGGAGCCTCTGCCAGTGGCAACAGTAAGGAGTTCCTATTCCTTCCCTCTTCCTGGGAATGCCAAGGCTGAACTTCCATGCGCGGGATCTGAAGGTAATTGAGTGAAGGGTGAGTTCAGTAGGAGCATGACATGAGAATGAAATGTGGGATTTGGGAAAGGGGGTGTTGGCAGCCTAGTCTTGAGGTTTGCAGTTAAAATTAATCTGGTGGTTTAGAGTCTCACTCAGGCAAAAGGAAACGACTCCCAGGTCTTCTCAGAACTTGGAGATTGTCTGGAGAATAAATGAAGAAGAGTAAAAGGAGCAAGGAAAAGGGGAAAAAAACCCCAAATCCTTCTATTTTCCAAAAATAATGAAACAAAGTGACAGAGGCTGGAGGTTTCTTGCCCCAATACAACCACAGAGACAGAGGCACTATGCCTGTGCATGGCTGTCTGGGGGTGGAAAAGCACTGCCCTGCTTCTTTTTCAGTAAAGAATTGAAGGAATTATTATCCTTTTTCTCTTCTAAAATAAAAGCAGATAGCAATAATACTGCAGGAGTGAAAGATGTGAGCACTTGCTGAAAAGCAGAACTTAAGCACAGGCAGGATAGCCACACAACCCGCAGAAAAGGAGGCCCTGTGATACACACAAGCAATTTCTCTGTTGCTTTCAGTTTCATATGGAAGATGCTCAAATAATATAACAATGATGGCAATAAAACATCCCAGTCTAGGTAATATAGATTAAGAGCATCCTGTAATATTACTGCAGCCAAGCAGAAAATCTCTGTATTGCTTTGTAATAAGAGTTGGATTCATATCATGGTGACATTTGTCATGGTTTTGAAAGGCAGTGCTTGAATCCAAGAGAACAGAGCTTTAAAAAGTGGGAGATCTAGTGCCAAATTCATTTATATCAAATTAACAAATGGAATCTGCGTTAATCAGGGTTGTGGTGAGTTGTAGTTTGAAGGCATGTGGCACGTTGAAGAGGTTGCACCTATTTCTGTAGAGGGCCTGAGGCAGGTATTGGGTTGAATGCCTTTGCCTTTTTTTCTGCTTCTGCAGGTGACTATGAAAGCGATGGAGAGGAAGAGGCTGAAAAAGGCCTGGATAGCGAGGAAGAGGAGAGTAAGGAGGAAGTAGGTATATGAGCCATTTCATTAGTCATCCACATACTGGAAAGTAAACTTTTCATTGTCTGTTTTGGCATCCTGATAAGTTGTCAAAACAGAGAATGTAGATACACATGTGGTCCCACATAAATGCACTACGCAAATAACAAAGGATACTTGAAAGAAGGAAAAGAGAAAGCATTGACTTTCATTGAAGAGAGTCCCCTGCATTTGTCTTATTAATTGCCATGCTTGTCAGCCAGGATGGTGTGGGTTTGGTGTCTTCTCTGTTCCTTGCAGAGAGACTGAGCAGAGACTATTAGAATCATATGCACAGTCAGGGATAAATGATGGATCTTTGATTCTTCCAGGTGTAGATCAGAAACGGCACTTAGTGGAAAAAATGGAATTACCACCTAGGAAAGACTAACCCCTTTTTTCTTCCCATATCAGAGCATATTTGGGCTGTGCATCAATCCTAAGCAAAAGGTCAGTTCTTTTAAGCCACAGCTGAGGCATTTGAACCTATGTTTCTTCTTTATTCGCTGCTGCACATAGACAAATAATACAATGAATAATTCAATACTTTTCCAGCTTCTCCCTTTGCACTCTCCCTGCCATGACCTAACTTGCAATAAACCCTCTATCAGCTGAGGATGAGTGTGCAAACATTTTTGTTGTGCAGATAGACACAAGCATACGTGCAAATGAGAAGTAGTGAATGCTGCTAATAGGTCTTCACCACATAAAGTCGTTTGGGAAGGCATATTAAAGAAATGAAGTTGCTAATAAAGTCTAATTAGATATGATTGAGATTTTGTGGAAGGGCATTTTCATTATTTGTCCTGTCTTTTTCTCCTCAAGTATTAAATTGATGTCACCCAATGAAAAAAGGAAGCTGAAAGAAAAAATACCACATTAGCTCAGTGTCCTGACTTGCCCCATCTGCCTGTTTTTAGCTGAATGTTACAGCTCGTCAAGATGCTCATTAGAAATAAAGTTCATAGTGAATTTAACTCCTCCTTTAATTAGTTATTCATTCAGAAACAGATCCTATATTCCTATATGTATCTGAACTATTTCATTATTCATAAGGTTTCACCAAGTAGATGTGATCATCAGATTTGTTCTTATTTTTTGCCTAAGAGCTTGCTCTGAGTATGAGTTTTAAGTACTGTTTGTCTGGTGTGCTGGTCATATATCTCTTGTGACAAACCTTTCTAAAGGGAAAGCAAGCAGGGAATGGATAATGAACTTTCAGTTTCTTTTTTTTATATGAGCTATCATTTGCACAATGTTTCCTGGTATTGATATGATGTACGAACATTTTCACAGCTACATAATACATATCTATGCATGCCAGTAATATCAACCAAACTTAAACTTGGCTTGACACTTCCATCAGTAACTGTTCAGGCAGTTCTATGAAAATCAAAATCATCACATCAACCATCTATCCTTCCCAACCCAAATCTTCAGCGAGCTTGAAGCTGCTTATGCATCATTATGCTGTCAGTGGCAAATCCTTTAAAGTGACCTCACACTCTGTGCAGCTCTTAACTGCATTTTCAAATAGGCCCTAAGAGCATTTCAGACTCTGCTTTGCAATACAAGTGTGGCTCAGGATTTTGAAATCTCATGGACACTTTTGCATTGGGACGATTTTATCTTTTTTTCTTTTGGTAATAGCTTCAGTAATTAAGTCTATCGTGAACAAATCACTTCTTTGCTGGCATTTCGTGGGACATACTTACTAATGACATCTTGAATTATTTGAATAGTGCTGTAGTGTAATGGCCACTCATCAATACCATGTTTCTATCCTTGTCTCTTGCCCCGTCTTTTCCTGGTTTCTTACGACTGAATGTTGACACAGTTTGGTTTTGGTTCTTTTGTTGGATATGGAGGAGGTTGCACAGTTGCCTTTGGCTGTGGAAGTTTCAAATGTGTTTCTTATCTCTGATTAACTGATGGTTGAGATCTAAAAAGCTTTTTTTTCATATAAAAATATCAAGGAAGTTGGAAAGTAAAGAAGATGAATTGGGCAACAGTTTCACAGATTTTTAAAAGCAGCGTCGAGAGATAAAAATAAAACATAAGCAATTGGTGCCTATAAGTTCAATTATATGGATCTGGGCCTTTCAGTTTGATTGACAGGCACTCAGAGAAACCATGTGGTTGTCTAAATGAAAAGTAGAAATGTCAAGCTTTCTAATTTGGCTGGTGGTCTGCGAGGACAATTTTGGCATTAATATACTTGGAGAATTTTCTTGCTAAATAGATGTTTGATTATTTTTTTCTTCGAATATTACCAATTACATTGAGGACCTGTGCTACTGATCTACACAACATAAGCAAGGGAATGGATGATACGCTTAGAAATACCTAGCAATTGTTGGTTATTCTGAAACCTCTCAAGCTGAGGTGCTTATAAAAATGTTTAACTTTCAGTATCGATACTTTTATGAACCCGTCTTTTCATGGTATCTCTACTTAGGTACTCAAATACCAAAACACCAAATTCCTCTTTTTCATGCTGTAGTCTTTCCGCATGTGCCTCTATTTTCATTTCCATAAAATGACTTTAATAGTAATAGGACTTATTAAAGGAGTATGATGTTATTGGAAAAAAAGGATATTGTGCAGAATATCACTTCAACAGTTATCTTGTGGGGCATGTTCAATATACATGCTCTTCTAATTCTGCTTTTTGTAGGATTATGACTTGGAGACAGATGTGAACAAATTGAGGTCAAAGCCAGCTCTTGACCGGCCGCAGGAAGAGCTTGGACAATATGAAGCAATGTGTCCAGAACTTTCCCATAATTTTCAGGTACTATCATAATGTGGCTTCCTTTATTTGTGAATAATCAATAGTAAGAAATACTTGAAAGGGGGTACTGACAAGAGATAACTAGACAAGGCTATTGCAAAAGGAAACCTAGACAGGACTAGAAAAACAAAGATTAAGACTTTTTGTTATGGTTTATTGGCATGAATCAAGAGTGATAGAAGGTGAGCGATGTTGTTTCGTGCACATTTGGCTGGGTATGGATTAACTAAGAACTATTGAATCGATTGCCACATGAGAAATCTGTCAGGTAATAATTTGTACCCTTGCTGGCAATTTCAAGGGCAATATTAAGATCAGAATGAGATGTAGAAAATAAATACTGTCAACTAGTGTTTTGAAGGAAGAGATGAGAAGATTGCACGGCTGCTGAGTGAGATACATAGTTCTAACCATCGTTCTATTGCAGACTGGGACAAGAAAAGGAGTATTGCACTCATTACAAGTCCTGGAATTTAGGAGAGCTGAAAACCATGATTCAAATACAAATCTGTAAAGGATCACTGGCTTAATATATCTCCTGTGCACACAATGCAGTGACATTTATTATGGCCATAAGTAGCCATTTGGGATAAAATTATACTCTTACACGAAGGTGGGATGGAGTTTTGCACGACGGATTGGCCTCCTTTACCCTGCTGTAACATTTGTATTTAAAGAAAAAAATACCTTGCAAGCTACCTACCCTAATTTGTTAGAACAATTGGTTTTGGTTGGAGCTGACTCACTCTGATGACTCAATCTGATCCTTTTAGTTTCTGAGGACTACTGTTGAAACAGCTTTGTGGATAGAGAAATTCTGGTAGGTGGTCCATGGGCTGATATTACTCTGGCTATCTTATTGGATGAGTACAGTTTTGGGAGGCTTGTAAATATTTACTCTTTCTTCCTTGAAAGGTTTCCTATAGAAGGAAGCACAATCTGTCTTTAGGGTTTTTTTAATTTCTTCTGCTTTTTAAATTTAAAGGAGCTTGAAACAGAGTCTGAGGAAGAGAAGAGCTTGGAGGACAGAACCGAGAGTCTTCTCTCTGCTCCCTCTCATTCCATTCCAAATGCTACTTCTGGGAAACATCCAAACTACAGATTGAAAAACCAAAGTGTCACAGAGATGGGACCAGATCCAAGGGAAAAGGATTTCAAAGTCCCACTGCAGAGATGGACAAAGAAGGAGAAATGTAGATGGGATCAGACTGATGAAAAGAGAGACATTGCAGAAGCAGTCCAAGACGCAGACTCCTGTGAAGATCCAGCCGGGAATCATGTACTTATTTTACGTCCCCTCCCAAAAGATCCTGCTTGGTACAAAAAAACAATTTACCCTGAATGTGAGGCCTTGATCAATTCTAGTGCTGGAGGGAGCCTGGATTGCTCAGACATAGTGACAAACCTTCTGGAGAGACACCAAGGAGATATCCCATTCCACAGCCCTCGCTTCTACATAGCAAGGGCCAAATGTGTAAAGTCCATACCAGATTACAAAGACTTGGCATTCCCTGATTTCTGGGGTCACCAACCACCTCCTTACAGCAAGTCCATGTTGGAGCGCAAGTATGGGGTTCAGAGGTGATTGTGCTTTAATATAACTACCACATAGGATTAGGAATAGGCAAACCTATTTCCTACCTCTGACATGGACTTTCTATGTGTCAGTGGATGAGCCGTGATTTGTCTGTGCATTGCTTGCTTTGTCTCATAGGTCAAGGTAGTAGTACCAATACTGGAGTGAGATGTTTATTTATGGCTTCTGTGAATCCGTAAAGGCTCCCCTACTTCATATCCCAAACTGTTACTGATTAAACTGGTTATTGATAAATGTATGATTGTATGTGATTGAAATCTGAGCTGGTCAAAGCTCTACACAGATTTATTAGTAGCTTTTCCTTAAAGTAAGTAGTCCAAGAGCCAGAATGAGCTGTAAATCTGTGGCCTTGATAGAACACAAATGAGAACAAGTTCATTTTAGAGATGGAGAAGGCTCTGTGTCCTTTTAGGATATGGGTTTTTTTCAGTCTTGCTCTTAATCCAGTCACCTTTAGCAACATTGGGTCCCATCTGGCTCTCTGAAGACAAATCCTTCCTGTCCACTTAGAGCTGTGTGTCTGTCAGGTTGTTTTCTGGCATTACCCTGTCTACCCTTCTGTTGCTGTGTCCCTTCTTGCTGTGCCTCTTGCTGTCTGCCCGCTCCATGGGGTCCTCTGGAATCTTCTCCTTCCCTAGCATGTGCTTCAGCTTCTGGGAAGCCTGTCATGAGCCAGAAAGTGGTAGTGGGGGCAAAGAAAGCAAGCTGCTTTCCCTCTTTGCTGCCCAGCCTACTAGGAGAAGACAGCATCCATGGCATGCAACATGCAGAAAGAAATCAAACCAAATCTCCCCTCTGGCATGCTGCTAGAGGCTGCTGGTTTTCCTGTGTTATTTCAGATTTTCAGGTGAGGGGAAAGCTGTGTTTTAAAGCTGTGCTGGGAGAGGAAGCTCCTTTTATAATAGCTTTGTCTGCTCCATGCGTGGCTGTGTACAATGACTTCACATTTCTTTTCAGTGTTATAGGGAATTACTAGCAGATACTATAGAGACTGGATTCTATATTAAACTTTAAATTTGATCAACGCTAATCAAATGGCATTTGTGAAGACCACTAATTCCTGACCTCTAGAGAGATAATGATTCTGCAGCAAATACAAAAGCTGAAAATCTTATTTTAGAGGCAAAATCACTCTACCATCTTCTCCTTGCACCGCTGCTCTAAAAGCTTTGCTTTTATGACTATAATAACATGTGTAACCATACAGATAAAATGGGAATAATCATATCATGCTTCAGGGCAAAACATGATTGCTGCAAAGGTCAGGAAGAAAATCTGGTATTCCACATTTGATCATCTTTAGGGATCAGAGAGCTTCCGTTTAATAATGAGTAGAAATTAGCTTGATTTAGAGTCAAGATTCACTGTAAGACAGACTAATAGGTTTATAAGATATGGCAGGTATTTCCTCACAGGGTAAGGCTGGCCATTTGGGAGATTGGCATTGACTGAGAACTGGGGATAAATCAAACTTGACAGAATACTGTAACGAATCGAAAATTTACAGAATCAGTCATTTAATCTAAAAGGCAACTCAACTTGTAAAGGGAATGGAGCAGGAGATTTCTCATGGTGAAAAAACCAACCAACAAAAACCAACAATAACAAACCAACAAAGGAAGTTCACATGGAAGTCCTCTTTCTTACCAGTCCTTCAAAGGAATTGCCTAACCCTCTTCATATTTCTTCCACTAGATTATCCTGTACTGAGATTTCCGCAGTATCATTACAATTTGCCCATTTTTCCTGTTTTTTTTTTTCTCTAGGGACAAAGTACTAGATGATGTTCGCCGTTTAATCCAGCCAGGTGATGTGATAGGCAGAACTGTTTTTGATTTAGATGAGCCCAGGTGAGTAACTCAGATTGAGTACTGTAGCCAGGGGCACTGTCAGTGCTGGGTTAGGTAGTGAGCTCAGTTCACTTGCTCAGCTCTGATAAAAGTATAGAAAAAATCACCTAGGAGATAAAGGCCCAACAGGAAAAATATACAGGAAGAGTAGATTCCTTGTATGTAACTCTGGGAAAAGGATTTGTTGTAGAAGTCACTGGAGCAAGATAGCCTTGAAACCTTTCAGGCAGAATAAAAAAGTCTACACCTCGAAGGGACTCTATGGTGTGCCTGGGTATGTCTGTACTGTATGTAGTGATTTGGAACAGAAGCATGCAGGCTGATGCTGGGAACTATAACTATGAAGTCAGATGCAGTCTCCCTGCACCCTGAAACAGCATTTTCTACTGCGACTGCACTTCAGTGTCTGCACAGCCAGTGTCATGGGCTGTAGATGTACCCTGAGCACTTACAAAAGGCTTCTGAACACAGTACATCAAGCCTTGTGAACAGTTTCAAGTGCTCAACTATGGCCAGAAGTTGGGGTCTTTGAGAAGATGTAGCACAGGGCAGCTGAGAGGGTCCCAGATATGAAGAAATTGCATTCAGAGGAAGGATGAATGACTTGGAGAACGTTCTTTAGAGGAAAAATGGTGAAGGACTGTTTGAGGTAGGAGAAAGTTGTGAAGTTGTTCAAGATGAATTTAACAGTTTCTAAGCTTTAGGAGAAGGAAAATATATAGATGAGGGAAGAGTAAATGAATAGCCTTGTGCAATTAGTAAGCTAATGGGAATATTTCAGCAGGGAAAGTAACTGGATAAAGAAAGTAAATATGAACTGGGGCAAAAGGGAGTACTGGGAAAGGAAAAGAAGAGGCTATTCAGAATCACAAAATAAGAGTAAAGAATGCTGCATTGGATAGGAAGATTATGGATTTGCTCACCTCTTACTACTTCTCAGGGTCTTGCTTATTAAAAATACTGTATATATAAAAGCTTGTCTTTTGAAGCAACCTGCTATAGTTATCCTTGTTTTGATTCACTGCAGTCACTCAAGCCCAGGTGCTCCAGGCTGTCTGACATTCTTCTCCAAGTTTGAATCGGGAAACCTTCGCAAAGCCATCCAAGTGCGTGAGTAAGTACGCCTGCAGCAGCTGCATGCCAGCCTGCCTTTCTGCTGCGACCACAGCATGGAACAGTGGAGTCCTCTTGGGTTTGGAAAGGGTTGGCCGGTGAAGCAGGTTATATGACACAATGTCTGCCAACACCTAGATGTCATGAAAGTACCAGCCATGAGAAAACAGAGGTCAAAATGCTTTGATATGACTAACATAAAGTAGTCAATGGTGTGTCTGGGTACTGCTAGTTTGATGTTGTCCTTTGGCTCCCATGGGGTGTTAGAGAATTCGAGCATCAAGCCTGCTCTCCTCAGCAGCTTCAGTGGCAGACCTGGTGGTGTTCATGGCCACCATCTTTTCTGGTCTTCCTTTACAGGTTTGAATATGACTTAATCATGAATGCGGATGTGAACAGCAACCAGCAGCACCAGTGGTTCTACTTTGAAGTCCGTGGCATGAAATCAGCAGTTCCCTATCGCTTCAACATTATCAACTGTGAGAAGTTCAACAGCCAATTTAATTATGGTACGAGTCTCTGGGGAATTGCAGTTGTCTTCTGTTCACAGGAATATCCTTTTAATGCTGTAAAGGGTTTGAACTTTCCACGTCTATAAGTATAAAGGAGGCTGTAAATTTAAGCTTATCTGCCCTGAAATCCACTGAAAGAGTTATTTTAGATTTCTCAAAGGACCTTTCTATTGTCAGGAGGACTGAGGAGTAAGCTGAACATTGAGACCTGGGAGAGGATTTGTGGGGGGAAAAAAATGTCATTGTTCTGTGTTTAGAGACTGGAACAGAGGAAGAATGGCATTGGGGTTGGGAGAGAGGAAAAAAAAGACAATCTGTTGGAATTGAATGAGCAGCATAGGATTGGAAAGTGCTTCTAATATTTAAATACATATAGATAATCCTCAAACAAATATTCCTCATCCTTTGGGCTTATCCAGAACGACATCTCTGACTTCAGACCTGCTGAGACTTCTGCTGATATTAATGATTAAAAGAAAGATTCAGTTCCTTGCTGTCTTTGAGCTTCTGTCACAGTCTGTGGTTCAGGAGGAAAGCAGCATTGCTCAGAAACAGGCAGGGCAAGTCTCAGCTTTCAATGCCCATTTTAGAAGAGAAATTATTTCTTCTGCATGGGTTGAATTCTTAGCTGGTATAAGCTGTTTTTTCATTTGTTTCCATGGAGCTGAGTTAATTTACACCAGCTCTAGACCCAACTTGGAATGTTTAATAAGCCCCTAATATCAGACTTTGCATTCCTCGAAGCCCTGTGGATACAGGCTTCACCATCACCAGGAGAAGTCTCTCAGGATCAATGTACCTCAAACAAATAGCCCTAGGAGCTGGAGTGATTTGTCATTTGTATTAGTGAAACTGGCTGGATGAGTGGCATAATGAATTATAAAGCATTTGCTCTTTAACCCTGAGGACTGGAGTTCAAGTACTCATATAGATCCCAAATGAAAATGATTTTTTTTTTTTTCTTTCCCCCTGTAATCTTATTCTACTTCCCAGAATTACTGAATAATTCAGTGTGGTGTGTCTGGAATGTTGACATCCTATGGTAAACTGCAAACGCAACCTCTCATACAGCCACCAGCAGCTTCATAGCTAGAGATTCTGGCTATTATTATAGCATAGAATGGTTTGGGTTGGAAAGGACCTTAAGCTCATCTAGTTCCAACCCCCTGCCATGGGCAGGGACGCCTTTCATTAGACAAGGTTGCTCCAAGCCCCTGTGTCCAACCTGGCCTTGAACACTGCCAGGGATGGGGCAGCCACAGCTTCTTTGGACACCCTGTGCAGCACCTCACCACTCTCAGAGTAAAGAATTTCTTCCTTACATCTAACCTACTGCTGGAAGGTTGCTTGTTATCTGCTAGTTTGGCTGTTGCCAGCATTTATAATCTCATTTTGTGCATCCGAAATTGTACATGACTCGGATGTTCAGGCATGTAATGAAAAGTATATTTGGGAGAAAAATGTGAGAATACTATCCAGTATAAGGAGGGAGGCTAAGCCTTGCTTTTGTCTGGCTTCTACGTGGGATTGGCAGTTAAAGCAATTCTTCTGTGGGTTACTTCTGCTGCTCTGAGAGGGCAGGGAAGCTCTAGCTTATCGGCTTGGCTGAGCACAGCTTGCTACCCCTTCCAGCACATGCATATTTACACACACTGTTGGTAAGAGATGCTGTTTATTTGCTACATTCCCCCTGCACTTTACTGGGTTAATGTCCATGTTATAATACTAAAATCTTCCATTTGTGATGTAGTTCCAAAGTGCCATGGGTGACAATATTGCACAGCTCCTGGTTACGGATCTGCTTTGATTTTTCCCTTCCCTTTTGCTCTTGGTTAGATGGCACTGTCTAACTTTCAAATCAGCAAAAAGGATATTTAATGAAGCAGATGTGACCAGGAGTTCGTTTTCTAAAACTGGATGTTTCCATAGGGAAAGTTGAAAGGAAAAAATGTGGTTGTTCAGGTTCTTTTTGTTTAGTTGTATGTTTGTTGGACTTCTGAATTAAAACAAGATAGCAGACCAGTATCAACCATCATTCGGAGGCATTTTGGGGGGTGTGTCCTTGGGACTTACAGAGAAAAGTAGGAGCTGCCATCTGGGATGTTGAGAGCACTTCAGATCCTAAGCCTCACATCCCTTGTCTGATGAACTGGGCTTCTGGACAGGCCTGTGTGCCTCACCTCCCTGTGGCCCACATTCTGCAACCAAACACAGAACTGCTTCTTGTATGTGTCTCATGGTGCTGGTTCAGGAAATAGCAACACAGAAGTTATTCCTAGCCGTAGGCTACACAGCCAAAAGTGAGCTGGGAAGACACTTCTGCCAGTAGTCTTGCTTAGCTCTTAAAGTGTTGGAATGTTTAACAGAGAAACCCAAAGGAAGAAGGGAAGCTGAAAAGCAGCTTACGGAAATATGTCATCAGTATTAATGATTTTCAAGCATCACTTGCTCCCAGCACAAGAAGAGCCAAGTGAAGGCTCGGGGGGGCAACTTATCAACATGCATAAGTACTTGAAAGGGTTTTTTTCCCTTTTGTAAACATATTCCCACAGAAGCGCCACCAGCACCATTGCTGGGCTCAGTCGGGGCTATACTGGGTCTGCTGGATGTTGCTGAGAACTTCCCTGGTGAGGATGAGAGCCTTATTGTACCTGCAGAAAAGCAGGGAGGCGTGGAAAGAAAACTAATAAGAATTTGACAAAAAAACTGCCTGCAGATGGGCTGGCTTCATGGAGCTGTGAGTGGTGCATACTCAGGTCAGAGCAGAGAAAGCCTCCCTTGTTCATCAGGGCATGCAATGGTAATATTTTGGAGGTCATGAAGAAGTCATCTTATGCTATATTATGGTACAAAGATGGGCGCTATTGTAATCAACATTTATGACACATAGGTATTATTTAGGTCTAATGGCAAGTTTAAAATCTTCTAGCTTTATTGCTAGTTTCTGAAGATATGGTACCGAATGCTCATCTAATGCTGAGGTAGGATTAAAGTTTCAGTAAAGGTGCAGCCAAGCATAAAATATTGGACTAAGCAAATTACTGATCTTGTTGATACCTTCATTTCTATTCTTTTCTTTCTCTTCCTCTGCTTGTAAACAGAGCAGCTTGAAGTCCTCCTTTGCAAAGGCCTGTAGGATAATTTATTTTCTAATGAACTCCATTCAGCTCACTTCTTCTGGAGGTGTTTTTTGTACAGACATGGCTATATCAGAACAAAGCTTTGGGAAATGTATTTACTTTGCATAAACTATCTGCAGAGATAGCACAGGCAAATAATGATGCTTCTTATTTACCCTCTTGCCCCCCACCCCTGTCTTCTCCACCCAGGGTAGTCACGTCACTTTAAACTGTCTTGTTATACGTAGGCATGCAACTGGTCATGTATTCAGTGAAGGAAGCTCTCCAGGGCAGACCTCGCTGGCTTCGGGCAGGCCATGATATCTGCTACTACAAGTAAGTGCATTTGGGGTGAATGATTTGTGGCTTCCTTCCCCCTCTCCTCCCCTCCTGTTAACTGTATTGGTTGTTAACCTCTGACTGCCAGTGTCACCTCTTCCAAATGTCTCTAAATTGATGCTAGTTCAATGTGTTATATGCTTCCACCTTCAGAGAACAACTACAAGCGAGATCTCTATATTAGATGCCTAGGGAGAAACAGGGCATGTACAGAATTAACTTCCCTAGGAGCAAGGATGTGGGAATGGGAAGTGCTCAAACCATGCTGATGCAGCCAGGAATACAAGGAAGCTTAACCCACAGAGGTAGTGTGGTTGGCTTTTCCCCTGATCCAGGAAGAAATAAGCTGGATGAGATCAGTGTTTTTCTTTTGCATACTTTGATTTTTGTAAGAGATGTAGGAGCTGAGGAGGTAAAGAAAGGGTTAGTATATACACGGGGTTTCAGGGGTGCGTATGTATTTATGTATGTATACTACTACACAGGTATAAAAATATATATGTAGAAATAGACATACACAAATACACATTTGGTTATTTGCTTATGAATCTGTCTCTATACCTTAGTATCTTCACTAGCATCCCTTCTCTGCAAAGCTGGATCTCAAATCCTAGAAGGCAAACTGCTCTGTGGACCATTCTTACTGGTATCATGTAGACCTTGTACTGGTAGCAGAAACAGTAGGGATTAGCATTACTCACTGTCCTATGGGAACTTCTGTCTTCCTACTGGAGCCAGGCAATGAGGACATAAAGGAGTTCTGACAAGCTCAGTGCTCATATTTATGCAAGTTCCCTGTTTCTGCAGTGTGTCAGAGCCTCAGAAGAAAAGCTCTAGATCAGTCTCATCTTGTATCTGAGCTGGAGCTTGACTCATGTGAGAAACATTCTCACTCGGGTACCTCATTTCCATGCAGAAAACTGATCCCTGATTAATTCTGGGTACTGCAGTCAAAGGAGACAGAGCGCAGAGCTTGGGGTTTTAGTAGGTTCAATGAACCCTCTTTTATTTTCTCAAGGCTTCCAAAATGCTATCCACAACACTGATCAATTATTTTAAAGATGACGATTGAAAAGGCTTTCAGGATTAGGATAATTGCTGTGTTGTGGATTAGAAAATCTGTGCAGAGTTGAAGGCTGGGGAACAGAACTGAACAAGAAGGAAACTGGTGAAGTTCTCATAATTTATAATCAAATATTGCAGCATTAATGAACTATCTTATCCTGGCCTTATCATGACCTGAACATTGGTGCTGAGAATGCCCAAGTGACAAGTTCTACCCCCTCTTTTTTGTTCTTCTCATTATTTTTTCTAGCAAGATTCCTATTCACCAATTTGCATCACTGAAATGCCTTTATGTCTCAAGACTGAGTATTGCCTTAAGCACTGCACAAACAAACCTAAAGTCTGGACCTTGCCCTTAAGACCTTATAACTGAAGCGCAGGGTTTGGACTACCCAATGACTGCAGACAGGCAAGGAAATACCAGAAAACAGAAAGGTGCTAACACAATTAGCAACAAGGATAATTTTCTGGCATGGTAAGTAGTGCTGTCAGGACATGAACTTAAGCAATGAGGCTGATTTTTGAAACTGATGTGAAATAATGGGTCTTCTCTCTAAGACATTTTATTTGGGTTGTAGTTCACAATTTTGCTGTTAGGTTCAGAGGTGGTTATGTTCACAAGTGGATGTGACGAGACAATAAACTCTAACAATGACAGTGGGGTGCCTTCCAGGAGTAGCAGAGACTCAAACTCTTGTTGCCACAAAGAAAATCACCCCAAATCTCTGTTGTAATCTCTTTTTAATTTTGTCCTTTTTTTTGGGGGTGGTGGAAGGGTAGGCAGTGAAGGTTCAGATCATCATCTCTCAAATTGGCATCCTGTCTATAGAATCTGAGTAGTTATTCTACTTTGTTCCAAGTCCTATTCACTAACCTTTATTCACCTAACCTTTTCAACCTCAAGAGCTAACATACTGTAGTGCAGGGGCTTCCCTTGGCATGCCTGTAACCTCTGGCTTCTGTGAGCATGGATTTCTGGTTGGGCAAGCTTTATGTGCTGATTACCATAGCAGTGGCTTCTCATGTCATTAACAAGGCAGTTACTGTGCAGTGATTCAATAGCAGCTGAGATTAAGCTGTGATTGTACAATTAAGCTTGTAATCAGATTCTTGTTCAGAATATGTGAGAGAATTGAGTTTTACTGATTTGGAATATTCTGTGTTTTCTAACTGTACTTTGAATTATTTGTCAACATGTTCATCTAGGATAACTACTTGTTGTCTATCTCATTTACCGCTTATTCCAGGTTTATATTTCAGTGTATATATGCACTTTCACTCCTACTAAAACTTTACAGTGTTATTATTCCAGTGATTATGATAGAGATTCCCAGTCACGAGAAGTTGTAGGTGGCAGGGAATGTGAAGAAAGTATGTTTGGGGGGTTGCTCAGGCTTTGGCTCAGAATAGATGTGATTGCTATAGTGATATCATGGTACATGTGTTTTGGGGAAAGATCTCATTTCCTGGTCACGGGTATCATGGGGTAAGACTGGCACATTTTGAAAGGAACCTCATCTAATTATTTCTACTAAGAGTTATTCATAAATATGGGAAAAGAGTAATATACCTACAAAAATAAGAAGGAGCTCAAAGATGTCCTTAATTGCTTTTGCAGGAGGGCTTTTATTGAGAGCAACCTCTGAGCTGAAGGACAGTGGGAGGATAGGCGCGATTGCAAGATGCCTGAGTGATGCACGTTGACTGATCTTTGCTGACATTCATCTTCACTGAAGATGGGATAGTTCACTCATAAAGATGAATGTTGTGGCACAGCTCTGTCATTGCATACCTTTCCCATATGTCTCATGAGAGTTTTTATGTTATGGGGAATATTAGCAGTGCTCTTGTCAAAAGGAAGCTGAGTGACACTTCTGCTCTATTTTATTGCCTCTTCGTGAAGTGACAGGATACACCCATGATAAACAGAGTTGCAGTTACTATAAGATCATCTAATTCACTCGCTGTCTTGGCAGCTTTTATGCACTGAATAATATTCCTTTCCTGCAAATTATTTAAGGAACTATGGCAGTATGCTGAATTGGTGACAGTGTGCTTGTGCCTTTGGTTTCATGGCTCATTCTCAGCTTATATTTATGCAAACCTCCAGGTTTTTCAGACAATAGTCAGTTCGCAGATAGTAACGAGGTGTGTTTTGTTCTCATATCACCATGAAGAACTTGGCTGTTTGGTGATCATAGAGGTGTCAGAACTAGGTCTTCTCTTTTCAGCATCTTTATCATCATATTAGATGAAATCATCTAACATTAGCAAGCCACCCCTCAGTTGTAATGATATCTATAAGGGAGAGCTGAGACACCAGTCAATTGGAGAGTGCCTGCCTGACCTTTACATTGCAACTGAAAGCCTGAAGAGCAAGATGGCTGTGGGAATATCCTGCCTGCAGTCTTGACAGTAAAGATGCCTTAACAAGGATTTCGCCCTTGAAAAGGAAGTTGTGTTGTGCATTTTCCAATTTCCAACCTGCAGACCCCAAAATATTAGCCATGCCTTGTAAATTGTTAAATACTGCGGGTTTTATGTGTTAGTAAAGCATGTTTCACTTGGCAGACACGCTTAGAGAGGTAAGAAAGTCAGGGCACGTAAAATGAGGACACAAGGCTCCAGGTGATAGAAGGATTTTGGACAAATGGAATGGTGATAAATAATTTACTTTTGTCCTGGGAACCACGGCACTTTCCATTTGGACTCTGTTTTGAAAAGGACTAGAAATCTAGGATACTGGTATTTTCTTTGGCCATTTTAGCCTAAGCTGATATAACATCATATTCCATCACCCACCAGTGCTTTGCACTGCAGACAGGAAGTCTAAAGACGAGATGATCAAGAGATGATGTTTTTGTACCGCTCGGTGCTTTTGAATTCCTTAGACACAATTCAGCTCCTATACTGACTTATCTGTATCTTTGGCCAAGTGGCTTCACCTGTTTGTGTCTCGCTTTTACCCATCTATAAAGGATAGAAAACTCGAGTTACTTATCTGCCATCCAAAGAATGGGAATAGATAAATGAGAAGGAAGTTTTAATTAGATAACGCTTGCAAAGGTCTTCTAAGCGCAAAGAATGATTGTGCAGAGTAAGTGATAAGTAGTTTTATAATTATTATTAATTAACTCTCCATCATAGCTATGCTAGAAATACGCTACCTATACATGATTTCTGAAGGAGAACAGAAAGCAAAATGATTTCACTATCACAAAGTGACTGAAAGGCACAGCAGATACAGCTTGCATGCTGATTTAAAAAAGCACACTTTGGCCTCTTGTTTTCTTTCCAATAATCAGTCTATTAGTTTCTAGATGACATGTGAGGCTTTGAACACTCTGAAAGAGAACACAAATAAGGTAGCGAGGACTATATGTTGCTAGGGTCTCTTTTTCCTTCCCTTTTCCTTGCTTGTTAATTTGGGATTCAGGTTGGTGTGGTAGAATGTTGTGATGGAAGAGGGGTGAGGAACAAAAACTATCAGCCTGGTGCAGGAACAGGGAGGCAATAGAGCCATCTTGGGATGACAGCAATAGAAGGAGAGGAAGGCAAAGAGGAAAAATGCTATTTTTTAGGTTTCTTTTGAAATGGATTCAGAGGTACTGCATTGTATGATGGATTGTGAGGAGAGCAGATTATATGCAGTAAGAATACGTGATCATTTACACTGTGTACACACAGGTGGTTTTTCTTCTTAATGCATGAGTGAAGAATATCAAAGTCTCACAAAGCTACCTGCAAACTTCCTGTTACTGGCAGATAGTTTGCTATAGATTGAAGGAGGTGTCAAGAAGTGATTCAGAAGTCTGGAAATATCTGTTCTGGGCGGGTAGTTTGCTGCAACAGCATCGGTTCTCAGAAGACTGAAATGTGTTGCTAAGCAGTGTGGTGAGAGCTCTGTGCTTCAGTTCCCTCAGGATCAGGCAATCTGAACACAGACAGGAGTACGGACCATCGATAACAGCGTAGCATCAAGGTCAGAGGTGTCTGGTGCTGCAAAACCTCTGGTCATTTTAGATAGAAGAGACATTTTGGCTGCATAATTACTGAACTTAGAGAGAGAAGCCTTAAATGGAGCATTAGGGACAGGTGAGAATAATGCGTATGTAAGATATTTAAGCAGCATCTAACTGCAAAGACTTGATTCTTCCCTCACCTCTACCTACAAATATGAATTTGGACGTGAGGACTAAGAAGATCTCAGCACTTTGTGACAGTTCTTTGTGAATAAGGTCATCTGATCTTCCAAGTCACACTGAGTATAATAGAGGCTATGGAGATAACTACTTTCCTTAGGCACTATACAAGAAATGGTTCTCAATTATCCTTCACTGTCAAAATTAACAGGAACTCTATTAAATGTTATCATTCTGAATTAAAAAGAAAACCAAATCCTAGATCCACCAAAATATAATAGCTAAGTAGATGTTTCTATACTTGTGGGTTCATTGCTGCATTTTATTTCCCCTGAGTCTCTTGTCCAACATGAAGGTGGGTTATTTGCAAAAGAAATGTTGGGGTGAAGGGTTTAGCTTTATAATCACAGGATTTTAGTTTTCCACCATGACTTCGTGTTCATGTGCTATCTCTTGATTCAGTCAATATCACTCACCCAGCATGATCCTAACTATTAAATACAGGTGAAAACCCAGCAGAATTGTATTGTTTTGGAGAATTTGACAAGAATAATTACCTTTTCTCTCCACTCTTTGAGTAAAAATGAACAGAGACAGAATAAACCAGTATTGTAAATTTCAGGAGCTGAAATTGCATCTTCTGGTTGCTGCTTCTGTTTTGCATTTTAATGCAACATTGATGATAACATTTGTCAAAGAAACCTCACAGTCCTTCAGAATCAGAAGGTTTGGCAACAGCATAATTGGTGCAATGTGGGAAAAAATATTGTTTGAAGCATACTTATGCATGTGATTTTTGCTGTGAGGCTTCTTCCTAAAATGCATGAATTGTCTCTTAATCTCTGCTGAAAGAAAACTTTCTTACTCAGCCTAAAGTCATCTCTATAACACAGTGAGTCTCCTGCAAGAGATCCAGTCCTGGAACTAGATTGAGAAGCTCACTTTAAGATCTTGCAGTTTCAATGAAGGGAGTGTCAAGAGCCTCACTATGAGAGCTCACTCCTCACTAGGAGACCTGGATGACCCTGGCCAGCCTTGCCCAGGGTCACTCACATCCTCTGTCTATGGACCCAGCAGCTCTAGTTGAGCTCTGTCCTGGCCACTCGGTCCCTATCTGAGCTCTGTTGTAGAGAGGCTTCAGCTCAGTCACTGCTGCATCTGTGCTTTGCTATTGGTGCTGGTGATCTGGCTCCTGATCTCCTGGCTTGACTCAGACCTGCCTCATCCCCACAAACAGTCTGATGATCTGGATGTGTAGTTGAACCCATCTGCCATCCCTGGCCATGCTCTGCTTAGGTACTGTGAGAGGTGATCCTGGCTGGTGAGGCCCCTGCCCTATTGGCTTCCACATCAGGATCAGCTCCCATCTTTTAGGGAGCAACTGGACTTTGCTGCTTCCTGATAGGGAGAGGCTCAAGTCTTTGAAAAGGAGAGATCTAGAAAAGGGAATTTTTCTGGATAGCTCACAACCTGCAAATTTGCATGAAGCTACTTCTCTGTGTGCAGTCTCTACCCAAACCTACTCTCTTCCTCTTCCTACTCAGAAAAAGCCTTTGATTGTATGTGAAATAGATTTATGTATGTCCTATTTCCATTTATTTATTTATTTAATTCCTGGAATATACCTTTCTTCCTGCGGTAGAAATGAATGGTTGGTTTGGTAGTATATTCATACTTTCTACATCTCCAGGCTGTCACAGAACATATTCACATAGCTTGTTCCAGACTGTGAATAGGTACCTGCATCTCTGCGCAAGATAATTTGGATGTCAGAAGCAATACAGCAGTGTCAGTTGAATGCACTAGTCTAAATACATCTGCATGTGCTATATGAGCTAGTATTAGCTAGCTTCTTCCTTATTTGCACCTTCACAAAATGAAACAAACTGTTATTTCCCTGGAAGAGTGCTGCCATCCATGAGCAGCATATGACTGGCTGTGCCCAGTACTGACACACACGGTTCTGCTTCTTAACTTCCTCCTTGTCTTTGTGCACTGTGTGAATCCCAAGACATCCTTGAATCTTGGTATCAGTGGTACTTACCATCATGATCCTGTTTACACCTCTCTAGTGGAACTGTGGTTTCTCTAACCTTCCTTGTTACATATAGTCTGTAGGTGCACTACTGTGTTATTGTTGTATCTGGGATTGGATTGGTTCTATTTGTATGGGGCCTTCCCAGTTGTGGTGCAATGACTGGTTGAGTTTGGAGCCCATCTACAGTGAGATGAAAGCTCATTCAGGGAGGATGCTTCTCTGAATGCTTAGTTCTCTCCTGGCTGCTCCAAATGTGCACCTAGAAGTGAAAACCATCTACTTCCCTCCTCTTTCTCTTCTTCCAGAAACCACTACCGCTGCAGTGCAGCTGCAGGACGAGGTGTGAAAGGAAATTTCTACTACACACTCACCTTCAGCATCAAGTTCCCTCATAAAGATGATGTCTGCTACCTGGCCTACCATTACCCCTATACCTACTCTACAATGATGGTAATGCTGATATCCACCTAGATAAGCTAATGGGTCTGACAGGTCAGAGCTGTTCCGGTCTGTGTAGATTTTGAGATAGCGTAGAGGACTGTTTTCACAGGCAGTTAATGATCATGATGCTGTTACTGCCTTGTTTGCAACTGCAGCCCCTTCCAGCTCTGAAGCCTCTCTTTGCAGGAGAAAAGAATTCTTTGTATGGGATGAGCTGGGGTACAAGCCATTAGTGCTTATAGTGGTTATAATGCAAACCAAAGATGTCTCCATTTTCTTAGGGCTTCAGGATCCTCCTCCTGGATGGGTGGGAAGCAGTGGGCTAAAGCTAATGGGAACTCAGAAGTGAAAGCTACCCACTCCCCCTTCTGACAGAGGGTAACAGCTCAGCACCCAGCAGTACCGCAGTGCTGGACCTCATTTGAATGCTTGGTCAACTGCTTCCTCTGTGCCAGTTGGGGTGTCAGTAGGCATTTGGGACACCCCCACCAGTGCTGTCAGTACAGACACTGAAAGAATACAAGCTCAAGGTGTAAATTGTATTACTGAGTTAACAAAGTTTGCTTCCTGGGGAAGGATTTGTTTTCTGCAGCCCCTTCTGGCCAGGGGTAGATGGTAAAGAATTTTCTGGGAAATGCATCCAATGTGTTTTCTCTGAGACTGAAGGAGGAGAGACCGAGGTCTGAAAGGGAAGTAGGATAAAAGAAAGAAAATGCGTAGTTCTAGGTATAGCTTTGCTTAGCTATTGAAGATGAGGAAGATGTTACTGCAAATGAAGGTACACAGTCCAAAGTGGATCAGTTCCCCTTCCTTCTCTCCTCAATTTCCATTGTCAATCCTTTTTCTTCTGGGCAATAAATACTGGTGTGGGTTGGTGAAATTTGGGCTTACTCTATTCTTTCTAATGATATTAGTTTGCCACTACCAGATGTGAAAGATTATGCTTTCCAGGGAGACAATGTCCTCTCCCACTTACTAGCCATGCGGGTTGGCATGCCAGTATAGTTAGGCTTAGATTAATTTCTGCTCAAAAAACAGTCTCTTTTCAGCTGCTTTGCATCCCATTATAGACGTTCAAAGAAACTGTTTCCAATATCTGGGAGAGAGCCAGTCAAACCTCCACAGTCCAAAATATGCCTGCCAGCTCACTTCTCATTAGGCTTATGGGTACCAGTTACTCCTCAAAATCAATGAGGAAGAGAGTATGCTCCAGTAGTGGGGTTTGACCTATAGCTTTGAAGGAATGTACGTCCTATGGGATGCAGGGGAAAAGACAAATGCAGTACTGAAGAATTAGGTGGACTTATTTACCACGATACTTGATTACTGAAATGCAGTGCTTCATCATTATTTTACTGTTATTGATTTCTATCTTCTGCTGGCACAAAAGCGAGAGACTTAGAGAGTTTGTATGCTCTGGGAATCCCTGAATATCTCACCTGCTCCTGAATGAATAGAATAGAGATGAAAAAAATGTTATTCCTAGACTTGCAGGGCCAAGTCCTGAAGTATTTCACTGCCTTTTCAAATCAAATGCACCTTGAAGTTAAAGGGAATTTTGCCTCAGGAAAAGTTTAAATGAACTCGGACTCAGTAAGGACCACAAAATTCGGTAAATGTGAATTATGGACGGGAGAGATTGATAGATTGTCATGCCCAGCTCTTTAGCCAAAGCAAAATTGTTGCCTCTAATAATTCTAAAAGGTTTCTTTGCTTGGACTAATTTAAAATGTTGAGTGATGCAATTTACACATTTCCATGTTACTTTAACTTCCACAGTAAATAAACTAAATCAGGTTTGTCCCGATTTCTTTCGAAAGCATTTGTCCACTGGTGAAGTATGTTGGCTTTACATATCAGTAATAAATTAAAAGTTGTTACAAACCCAAAGGCTCAATTAAATATATAGTGCTTTGGGGATGAAGATAAATTTGTATATGGAGTTACTAATATGAGAATGTTTTTAAATATCATATATATTTAATACTTACAGGCATATTTATAGTAAATATGTATCGCAGAATCCTATTTGAACTAGATGCACTCTGCAGTTCATTACTTTTTGCCCATTAGTAATTACATTTATTTTATGAACAGTAATTCATCTATTTTTACATCATAGTGTTTAATTGTTTAGATATCTAGTTGAAATCTCTGTGGCAGCTATACCCAATTAAGTTTCACTGGGTACCAGGAACATAAGTAAATGATTATATTGAGTTCTCTGTATCTATGAGAGATCTAATAATTGAATTTACTTTGTAGAGCAGTATGTTAATTGTTTTATGGCATAGATGACTGTACATTTCAGTTCTATGTTTGCATTCAAATGGAAGCTGGGAAAGCAGTCTAAAAGACAGCAAGCTCTAAGCATTCAGCAGCCTGGTCTTAGTGGAAGGTGTCCCTGCCCATGGCAGGGGGAGTGGAACCCAATGATCTTGAAGGTCCTTTCCAACCCAAGAGTATCTTGTCCTATAAATGTTGGTTAAAATTTAGCTCTGACTTGTAAAGACAAGGGTTGTTCAGTGAATATATATAGTCTGCAAACTTCACTATACCCGTTTCTAGTAACTAAGAGACAACTTGTGTTCCACAACATTTAGCAACACCCTGCAATGGGATTACTTATGCTAATCTTGCAATTACAGTGTAAACAGAGAGAGCTACACGTCATCTGGCGTGTGGGTGACAAGTGGCTATGTGTCTAATGAGGAAATCAGAATATGTTCCAAAAATTGATCTTCCTTTTTTTTCTTTTAAGCTGCCAATTCTTTTTCTCAAATTTCTCAAGAAGCTGTTGGACAAAATTGGTTTTAAAACTTTGTAGGGGGAGGAGAGGAGAAGAAAATCTCCTTTTTAAATAACTTCTTGGAAAGACACTTCAAATTTCCCCACTCCTGATTGTACAAAATGTCCTTTTAATGTAGACTTTTTGGCTGCCTCTGGTGAGTTGTTCCTGAGTTTCACTGGCACGTGCTTGACAGCTAACTACTCAGTTCTATAAAGGCTCAAAACTGGTTGAGTTCTCTCACATTTCTTATGAACATGTAAGTCCTTATGAAAATACAAGGAGTAGGCAGTTCTCTTTTGGGCTCCGCATATGCACAGAAATTCCTTTACACTAATAAGAAAAGCACCTAGGAACTGTTCAGGTAAAATCATAATATGGTTTGGGCTGGAAGGAACAGTTAAAGTCCATCTAATCCAAGCCCTGTACAACAAGCAGGGACATCTCCTACAAGTAAATAGTACTGTTGCATCTTCAGTGAACTGGGATATGTTCTGAATGTCTTGTGCATATCTGTGGGGTGTAAAAAGTGGTGATATCAACTGGCAGAAGAGAGAAGCTGGGAAGTTAGCAAGAGATGGAATTAGTACTAATAATAATACATGGCTAGTGGAATAAAATCAGATTTTATAGACCATGAACTCATTTAGAAATCTGCTTCCTTGCTTCTTTCTCAGTCCCATCTTGATATCCTGGAACGAAATAGGAACCCCAAGAAGGTTTACTGGAGACAGCAGACGCTCTGCCAGACACTGGGAGGAAATCTATGCCCGTTGCTCACAATCACTGCCATGCCAGAATCTAAAAAAAGAGACGACTTGGAGCAATTCTGTAAGTAGCCAAATGAAGCATTAAAACAAGGTGCTGGCGAGTTGCGGTCGCATCAGCAGTGGCAATGACAACCTGTTTTGTGAATGTAGTGATTTTCTTGCCTTTCTCATTTTGGAAATAGGCATATAAATATGGGAAATAGCCAATCACAATACGCTTTTATATTACGGATTTACTTGAAGGAGGGAGGAGAGCTGACACCATTTTTTACTTTGAATTTTTCTTTAATGATCTGAAACAATTACAAGTATCTCCAACAGCAAGAAACTGTTCAAGTAACCAAGGAATCAATTCAACAAGAAGTTTTGGGTTTCTGCTGGTGGTGTTTGTGTGTGCGCATCTTCCATGTTGAAATGATTTCTATATTTCGAGGTCTTAAACATGCAAAAACCACTCAACACCCCC